AGAGAGAGAGAGAGAGAGAGAGAAAGAAAGAGAGAGAGGGAGAGGGTGAAAAGAGGGAGACAGGGAAGGAGAAATGGAGGAGGGTGGGCAGACAGGTAGGCAAGCAAGCAAGCAGGCTAGCAGGAAGGAAGGAATTGCGCTTGCGCGCTGAAACGGCCGGGCTAGACGCGAGAGCCGCCACTCCCGAGCGCGAAGCGGTGTACCGCGGGTGCTGACCGAGTGTCCCCGCGAGAAGAGCGAGAGTGAGAGGGCGAGAGTAGAGAAAGAGAGTGCGGAGAGAGAGGCAGAGCGGGCCGTGAGAGAGGTGACAGGAGCAGAAAGATGTTCGTCGTGAGAGGAAGGATCCTGCGGAAGCGGAGCTCGCGGCAGGCCGTCGGCGATCAGGAGGCTCCGGCTCTGTAGGACGCAAAACCGAAGGAGGCGCACGATCTCCAGCAGGAGAGGCTCCTCGTCTCCCTCCTTCGCCGACACCCGTTATCCCCCGCCCGATTGTCATCCCGGTGCCTCTTCCGCCTCGAAAACGGGAGCGGGAATCGCGAGCGAGACTCGGCGCCGAGCGGGAAAGGACGGAGGGGTGCGAGAGAGAGAGAGAGAGAGAGAGAGAGAGAGAGAGAGAGAGAGAGGATCGGGAGGAAGAAGAAGAGGAAAGGACTCCCGGTGCCGACGAATCTTCGTAAAACTACCCCACGTCTTCGTTTATTGCGCGTAATCAAGACTACCGTTGTGATCTCGTCGCGAGTGGCGCAGAGGGGCGACACAAGGAGAATGTGTCCGCGATAGAATTACCCGGATCGAGCTTCAAGAGAGAGAGAGAGAAAGAGAGAGTGTGTCGTGATATTACGATATTGTAACCCATGTCGCCGCCTGAATGTTCACAAAAGTACGATCGTGAGTGATAGTGACGGGAGGATAGAGGCGGGGGGTGAGCCAAAGAGAACGGTCGAGAGCGTAGAGAGCTGAGAGAGAATCGTCGGGAAAACGACGGGGCCAGAGAGCACACGGAGAGGAGCCTGAAGAGGAAGCAAGACGGGGGTAGGAGGGTGGGCTGGGCGGGAGGGAGGGAGGGAGGGTGAGACGCAGACGACACGCAGAGAGGCGCCGGGTCAACGCGCCAGGTAGCAACGCCTCGGGACAACCGTCGACGTTTCCCTTCGTCGCCGTCCTCACCGTCGTCTCAGCGGCGGGGGTGGTGTCGTGATTCCTCCTCCTTAGGACAACCGCGGCGACTCCGGGGGACGACAACCATGGGGTCCTTCCACGCCGTCTCCGGGAGCTTCGTTCTCCTCGTGGCCACGGTCGTCCTACTGCCCGCCACGCATCACGCACCGTTTGCATACGCCGCGTAAGTTCACCCGTTTTCTAGCACGCTTGCTCAGATTCATTGCTAGACGAGAAGTGCGCGTAACGCGTCTGTGAGACTAGCATGTGCCTTTCGAAAGTAAACGCTGAGAGAGATAAGGGTAATCTTCGAGGAATCGTCGGTACTTTACTAATAGTTTGGGTCTCTGATCGTCTTCAATTAAACGCGTATTATGCACCAAGTACGAGTGGAGTGTCAGAAAATAGGATTCTGCGAGAGAGAAACGTCGCGGCAACGTGTTGTTGATGTTTTCTTTACATTTGCAAAGCGAGCTTATCGCATTCTTCGATAGTTGTTCAACTGTCTTTCCATGTCTAGGAATATCCGAAGAGCGAACAACATTATTAAAGCGAACGTGCTTAAAGCTTTGAAAAAATAACAAAAAGGATATGTCTATCTGTCATTCTCGCTTGAAAACACTATCCCACATCTCAGAAGAGTTAATATCTCACATCGAGGCACTTGGTATTTTCAGAGATAACGTCTATGAAATATTTCTCATTGCAATTCATTTTATCAATTCTATCATCAATAATTTTAAAAGTAATTCGTAGAATTTTTAACTTTACTCACATGGCTTTGTTGTCATCGGAATACAGCTTTCTCGTGGGAGATTTCAAATATTTTTCGTACACATTACTGCTATTAAAAGTATCAATATTATCGGTGCGACAGGAAAAATAATTAGCAATAATTTCACGCATTACTCTGCATTTAAATGTCACGGTACGTAAAGAACGGCGATGCATCTCTTTCACAGTAATTACGCGGAGAGACATTCCTGCCAGATACAATATATCGCTCTTCTACATCAACGTTGAAAAAAAAAAACATTGCGTTAGGCAAATCGTGACGAATGACATCTTCATTGCGAAACGCGTCATTCATTATGCCACTTCGACGGAAATAACGAAGTTTTATTACGCGATCGTGTCTGACGTCAACCCGCCCGCTGCCTACTATCAAGTGCAAACAAGATAGGTTTAGCCTTTGACATAACGGGCGTCACAATGAGAGCGGCGCATAGCTCTCTCCGTCGTCTGGATGCACCTCCGTGATTGCATGTAAATGAGCGGATACATGCAGTTACGTTGCATGCTCTAGTGTGCGTCTCACCACTACGCGCGCCAACTCTTTCCATGTTCACAATGACACCATCCCTCGTGCCTCCAAGGTGACGATAAGAAAGCTCTCCCCCCCCCTCCCTCGCATTTTAATAGACCTAACATATTTTGCACCGTACATTGATCAACTCAAGCTATACTTTTCCTAATCGATGGCAATCAACAGAGCCAACATAGTAAGCGCAAATTCTTAATTATTGTGATTAAATGAGAGTAAATGTAATATAGAAATACCACACCGACATCAGTTAATTCTAATAAATAAAGGATTTGTTATAATTTGTGCCAACGGATGAAAAAAACAAAATTAAAATCCATAAAATAATTATACGCGAAAGATTTTAACATTTTAAATAAAACAATGTAAAAAGTCTTTTCACATTTTCTTTCGCGTGGCAGAAATTACCCTTGTAATTGAGTTGAAAGATTAATTTTAATAATAAAATCGTCCGTTACAACATTCACTATAAATCGTATTACCAACCTAATAATTTTTTTCAAGCGCTTTAACTTTTGTCGTAATTAATGGAAACGTTTGGAACGCACGTGAGCCTTATTGTCAATTAGAGAATGCTATTTCGAGCAGAAACAAAACGATAAACTGGCGAATAGAAAGAACAGAGGCGGACGCGAGCAATAGTAACAAAGCGCAAACAATGCCGACATTGGAATTGGTCGATGCTACACCCGCTCATCCGTTGATCGCAATTCACTAGTACGTATTAATAATCCGCAAATGTAACCGGCAAAGATATCTGCAGCACGAGCCAGCGCTATCGATCACTTTGCACGAAACATTCGACGCGTTGTGCTCGCGACCGACGGCTGCGTTCACTCAGACTCTATCACTGGCCGTCGCGATACGTTCCGTTACTACTAAAATCTCACTACGACCACATTGCAGTATCTTTCAAGCACATCTTCAATGGCCTCAAGATTTGCCAAATATATAAACGCAAATCTGTAATCGTACACGAGCATATCTTGTTAAGCAAAAAGTTAACTGGTGTTATTTTTATAATTTTTCTAATGCGCAAGATTTTACGTAATAACACTGAAAGCATATTTCGTTTAGACAATCCAAACTCCTCAGATTTCAGTGAAAATTCTTGGTAGTAAAGATACATCTATTGCTTTATAATAATGCATTTTCTATCATGAATTGAATCATATAGTCACATGGCGGCTGTGATTCTCTGAATGAAAACTATACTTAATGTAACGACAAGTTGTACGCACAGTTTTCTTTAGTAAATAATAAACGTTGCAAGAAGTCTCTGTTTCGAGGCCAGACAGCGAAGGTTTTCTACAATCTGCATTTATATTCCATAATCACATACGGATTCATGAATAATCACAAACGAAGACGTGACGTTTAACTCGTATCATTGTAAGAATGAGGATAGAATAGCGAGCTTAGCCGGTGACATTGACAACTGCCGGTGGCATTATCGATGTTCCTGTACGTTTAGGACTGGCCAACGAGACACGTATACCCGACCCTGCTGACACACGTGGACTTAGTTGACCAATTTCGTATCTCGCGGACAGCCCCTTTTAAGTGTCGAACGATATAACCGTGGCGGGACAGCCGGTGTCGAAACAGTTTTAATTCGCTATGCCATTACGTGCAACGAGGGTGTAGACGAGTAGTTATATGTAGTCAGAGGGATTATCAATATTTACGCTCTTCCGGCGAGCGGGGCCTCGGTCGTTCCACCTGTTTCCTTCTCGAGTGGGCCGCGCTTCTCTCTGGCCTCCTCCAAACCTCTATGAGTACCAACCGCGGAGGTACTGTAGTGTGGTATCGGTGATCGCAGTAGAGCTCTCGAGCAGGAGGGTGCTCCCAACGTGGCAGAGCTCCAAATCCTCCTACGCCACCACCCCCTCGCCAGCCCACCGCGGCTAGAATCGTCGCCACCTTCGCCCACTCTTGGATCGGTGGCGCGCACCAGGCCCCTTCTCGCCACAACGGCGGAGAACACCCTTTTTGCCTCGCTCGATCGCCCGGACCGGGGCTTCATCCGGAATCCCAATTACATCGCGCCATTTTCATTCAAGTTGCCACAATCCTCAGCACGGCCTCATTACTTAAGCCAGATGATTGCGGCTATTGTATAGCAATTATTTCGCAATAGACGAGAATGTAAATAAAATGTCGTAACAAAATGTTAAAACTTTGTTTTCAAACATCGGGTGTTTGAAAACAAAGTTTTAACAATTGCGGGTTCAAACAATGCCCTGTAAATATATCAGCGGAATTGGCTGAAGTAGTAGTACAAGTCAATAACAAAATCGGCACGGGCTAACTTTCGTGCAAACTTACTATTTGAAAAATGTCTTTTATATCTCTTTCTCTTTGCTTATACGAATATCAAAAAAATTGCCGATGGCACTGAAGATATGCTCGCTTTCAAACATCCGTTGAAAAATTTTTGTGCATAATTTAAGTTTCAAATTGAGACTTTTCTTCGACATTGCTATTAGTGCATCTTCATTTCCGACTTTCACGGATAATTTTATTTGGAGACGGGCCGCAACAATTATTGCAAATATATCGTAAATTTGGTTTCGTTTCAACCGGATTACGGAAAATGCTAAAGGTTGCGATTATATCGCAAGTAATTAATGGCTATCGTCGAAAATATTCGTTCAAGGATTTCGCAAAGAGCCACTATCTATCGATCCGTGATATCTCACATCGGGATGCGACTCTCGTAGACAGAAGGATTTCTTGGCAACTATCCGGAATTGGAAGCACCGTGGATTATCATCCGGTCGAGAATCGTCGTGTTTTCGCCGTAAGAGCATCGCCCACCGCGGAAACAGACGAAATCGCGCCAAATCATTGGACTTCGACTGACCTATTTCCTGCCGGCAGTATACGAACGCGCGTACTTCTGCGACGGGACGGACTGTTGTTTTCCTTTGCGTATCCCTCTAGCCCCCTGGTTTATGCAACCGCGTTGGCAATACTACCATCGCATCGGTTGGAAGGATAACAGTGACAGCCGATGCCACCGAGTGTTTTTCCATTACCGCTTCGGCCAGAAAAGATTTATCTTTCTCGCGGTCCCGCGGATATATCTGGCATCCTGTATTCGCGTAATGGAGCTCTAAATTTATTTCCGCTTTTAGAAATGCTACCATGTATCCCACATATATTCCAATATGAAGTAGAAGTCTGGCAGCGACTACTGAATTTTTTCTATTTTACCGCTTGGGTGTTTAAGAAATCACGTCGGCTACGCAAAGATACTTTCGGCAGGAGATTATGAAAGAAACAGATAATCGTGGTAATTGCAAACGTTTTAAGAAACAATATATATAAGAAATATATGGTTGCTACATGATAGTGCACGGCAAGGAGCAAAGATTGTTATCAATAAAGATACATTTAATAGCACTTAAAACAGTATTTTATAGCGAGCAATTTTGGTTTAATTATGTTTAAAAGGATTCTTTATATTATGCACGTGGCTATAAATTGATAACATAGATAATGTAAAACTCACGTCCTAATTTCAAAAACGGAGCGTTTTACGTAAACAATTAATGACTGGCAGCTGGCATACAAAGGCTGACAGAAATCGGGCATAGAGAGACGCAAGTAAAGAGAGCATGACGCTTCGTTCGCAAACAACCAATGCATATTTAATAGTAGACGATTATTAATGCGCGCTTACGCGGGTGATTGATGAAACTATATGGATACGGAACCGCACAAGTTTCAACAATTTGTGTCACGATTTATATTATCAGTAATGATCTGTTCTATTTTACTTAAAAGCCCTTTGATTATGTGTACTTCAGAAAGAGAAAGAGAACAAGTTTCGTGATTAAAGAAAAAAAAACAAG